ATATATCTATATATATATATATATACTATATAGTATATTATATATATATATATACTTATACACCTACGTGAATACACATATACATGTAATTAATTATATTACATATATATAATTTGGTACATACGTTTGTGTTTATACTATTATATATGTATATTTTATCACGAGAAATGTAAGGTCAAGCCAGACTATGCTATTCACAATTTCTAAAACGGTGTTTTGGGGCCAGTGCACAACATACTATGATCACCACGACGATAGTACACAACACCTCTGTGTATCAAATCACGCGTAATCAACAAGGTCTTATCACCTTAGCGTGCGCACCAATTGGGCCACCTTTCTGCATCTCTAGCGGCCAATGCATCTAGTACCCTCGTGCATCTCTTTTGTTCGAATCCACTTAATAGTAGATTTTTCAAGCAATATTCGATTCACAACCAAACTCTATCAGCTAGTTAAAAATGTGGTAAATACGCGTCAATCACTATATCTCAACGCACTCCCCTCATCAGAGGTGAGTCGTTGGTTATTTATTCAATATTACTCGATTAACATCTGGTCAATTAGCGCATGTGCGTATTCGGATCAGAACCCTAAACTGGGTTTATGACCGATCCACAAATAAACCTTAATAACCCTAAATCGTATATCTGACCACAGACGTAGCTACGACATCGATCTTGTTACTGCCTTATGTGGTGCACAAACTTCTATAGAACTGCTTACGCGGATAACACAATATGTCAATACTGTATGATATCTCGAAAAAGAACACGACTCGTCCACGACAAAATGTCGAAACAAACATCTAAAATATATCAGATACATAAACATCTGAAATGTATCAATTGCATCGCAATAAGAGTCGACACGCATGTTCCGTAATATAAAAGTCTCCGCAATAAATAGGACGAGAACAGACTTCCTGTTTAGTCACCTGTCCATATCATACTTCCCACCCTCCACCCATTGGTTTCCACTGTTTACCATAAAGAAGTGAATATGCATAAACCCTAAAACCCCCTAAATCAATAGGACCACGTACAAGTTAAGATGGATTCATTTTAATCATTCAATGCATTCTCATCAAATGAGTTCGTGTAGACTATGTGTAGTAGATATTTTATATAAATCCATTAAAAATAGGGAGATCTCTGAGCTCCGTTCTTTTTGTAATTATTATGGGTAGATTGCAAAGAATTTATATAAGGATTCTTCAGCTAAACTAGGATCCTAAAAAGAACTAACCCAGGTACTACGGTAGTACTGTACAGAATTTTTACCTACATCTATTGATTCGCCTTCTTGATTTTTTTTGCTCCCAGAAGCAAGTACATAGATTTTCAAACTATAACATACGCCTATTGAATCGATCTCATGGATTCATTTTAATCATTCAATGCAATCGCATCAAATGAGTTCGTGTAGACTATGTGTAGTAGATTTTTTATATAAATCCATTAAAAATAGGGATATCTCTGAGCTCCGCTCGTTTTGTAAATTTTATGGGTAGATTGCGAAGAATTTATATAAGGATTCTTCAGCTAAACTAGGATCCTGAAAAGAACTAAACCAGGTACTACGGTAGTACGGTACAGAGATTTTTACCTACAACTATTGATTCGCCTTGAATTTTTTTTCCTTGCAGAAGCAAGTACATAGATTCTCAAATTATAGCATACGCCTATTGAATCGATCTCATCGCTCTCAATAATTTATAATCGAATGGGATATAGTAAGACAGTTTAAGCGAGCCCACAGAGTATGTGTGAAAGGCAAAGATAAAATTTTCAGGCGGCTGCTTCAAATGCCCGTGATACAAGGAGAAGATCCGTAAGGCGCCTCATAGAGGGCAAGGAGAGCTACAATCAAACGATTTACTTGCTTACAAGTATGAACTTGATTGAAAACTTTTGATGCTTTAATATGTACGTCCACACTTCCATGCCGCTGCAATAAATTACATGTCTAGTCATTCATATCAAACACTTTCAACATGATTCTACATGAGAAGCCGCATAATAACTTTCGTCGCCAAGAAACCAACCATACGCAAATATATATAAATGCCTGTGCACGGCTCTTCGACTGTAAGAAATCGATGTAGTAAAAGGACTATATGCTATTATGTGACGACTGTACTGAGAAAACAAAATGCATGGGGTCGCGTAGAGGAGCGTTAATAGACTTGTCTCAGTATATCCTTTCGTTACTAATATTTATTTGCGGTTGGAAAAGGGAGACTACTAAAGCGGGGACGATGCCCTATAGTCAATCCATAATGCACTGCTTTTAGAATTAAAAAATAGGTGAGTTGACCACTGGTAAATCAGACAAAACAATTTCTGACACACAAAGTATTGCTCATATTGCACAAGGTATATGTTGGATGTTGTGCGCCGGGCTTGCCACTCAGGCAATGATGTCTGCCACAGACTTGTATGTACCCTCTGGCTTCAGTTGGTTCCGAAGTGGCTGTATCCGTTCTGTAAGCTTTTTCTTGGCCATTTCATCCAGTTTGATCGTACCCCAGTACTTCTTCAGCTGCTGCGACCGCTCCTTACGCTTGATTTTGTAAAATACATCTAAAGCGTTGTAAACCTCTCCCGGGTTCGGATTCTGAGCACATTTCAGCACATGCGCATGCCCAACAGAAAGCACAGAACTCGTTGATGCCATTTGGACACACCGCGCAGGTCAGTGAGAAGCAAACATCAAACGACTCGTCAAGTACATGGCCCATTTCTGGACATCTCAGTGGCAGCATCTGGTCAGCTATGTAATGAAACTCCCGATCCTGCGCAGCTTCGTGCTCTTGTTCGATCAAAAGCTCCTCGCCCACCTTAGGCTTATTTACCAGACACATGGCTTCTTCAAATACACTCTGTTCGACATGGGCGGCGTATACTTTCGGTTCCCACACTTTCTCGCACCCATTCATCTGCATTGATCATGGTAGTAGTCCAGCATTCCGCGTGATGAAGCTCGAGTTAGTCAGGTCAAACCGCAACCAGTCGTTCACACAGCCGTTGCATGTCACGTGCCCATTGCGACACACTAGACTCTCCGCTGCAACATATGCCTCACAGAAAATTCCACACAGTCGAGTACTTTGCAGATCAATAAAAATTGACATAGCTGTCACTTCACACAGTGTTAGACGCTCAGTTGGTCGCTTTCGAGTCATTTGAACAACGAGTGTGGTGACTGCCGTGTCCGTCGCTGCCGTTAAAGTATCAGAAACACTCACACCACTGAATAGTTCTTCCAGCACCAGGCCGAGTGAATATACATCTGCACTCTTGGCAAATCTGCTCACCAATCCGCTACATATCTCGGGTGCTTCGTATTTGCGAGTCACTCCTACCGCAGTCGTTATAGTGCAGTCTGCGTCACGCACATTGTCAAAGTCACCCAGCACAGCCTGTACATAGAAAAGCAAATTATAGAAAACACGGCTACTGTTCTGATCACCCGAGTGTATATGAATGACGATAACACGTTTGTTGTGTACAGATCGGATTTTTATTATACGAATGAAAGCCTGAATCATAGAAAGCTTCTAAATATATAATAATGTACCAGGGAGACCCCATCAGCCTACATTAAGTATATTCAGATTTCTCTACCGTGCAAACGAGACATGGCCCCAAAAAATGGACACGAACTAGCTGCTAAATGGCTCGAAATTCTGGATTGCTCACCTCTAATTTCATCGTCAAAATATGTTCTCGGGCTTCAAGTCACAGTGCACAATGTCCCGAGTGTGCAAGCTGTCGACTGCAGCCACGACTTGGTGCGCTATCCGTAGACACAACTTTGGATCTCTCTTTGGGTGGCCATTTATCCATGCAGCAAGATCACCGCCACTGTAGTAGTGCATGAGCACGTGACCAAAGTGTTCCTCAGTAAACACCCCACTGATGGGTACGATATTGATCACTCCTCGCAGTGCATCCAGCTTGCTACACGTCCTCATGAAGTGCGAGAAGTGTGAGCTGGTGGTGAGGCTTTAGGACTTCTGCTTGCCCTCAAAGTCTGTGACGAGTCTTACGGGCCGGCCTTTCTTGTCTGAAAGCAACCTCGCGAGTTGATAGTTATCGACATTGTCGTCTTTACGCAACATCCCCTGTGCCGCACACTCCAGCTCGTATTTCCCAGTGAAGGTGCTTCGCACGTTGGCGTTTTTCAGAAGTTCAGGATAGTGTGTACCTGCAAACTGCAACCAGGCAGCCACTTCTTGACCAGCAATTCTCTATCGCCTCCGAGTGTTTCGTTGCCCCACACCAAACTTTTCGCGCAGCCTTGTTTCCTCGATCTCATTATCAGCGAATACTATTTGCGCATCCCATCGTTTTCGCTTACGTGTGTTGTTGGTACTGTTAGAGTACCGTGCAAATGGATGTATTTATTTCTGACCTCACCTTTGGTATTATACCTAAGGTGTTTGTGCTAGTGTTCAGCCGCTTGGGTTGGCCAGGGTAAAAACTCATATGGTCAGTATGAGAAACCTTATGCGGAACACTTTAAAACTTCGATGCTTTTCTATTTCAACTTCTCTGCAACTAAATCTCACGCTGATCACATGATGCCTTTCCGCATAGGTTGTGACTCACATAGAGCCGCAGCTATTATTTATATGTTGTGGTTGACAGGCTTAATCCACTCTCGGAAATCGGTTGAGAAACTAAATCTGCTCTATGAAGTCGGTTAAGTAATAATTCAACTCTTGAGAGTAATTTGAGCAACTTTATTAGCTCTCATGAGTGAGCTAATTCTGATGACTTCCATAAATCAAAGATGGGTTCTTACTGTAAAATCTGGCTTGAAACCTGTAGTCTCTCACTCCCCCTCAATTTTACAATCAACATGGGCTGGAGTCTGAAGGCAGAAAATTGGAAACTAAAGACTAATGAAGGCTGAAGACTTATGACCTGGATTGTGAAATTGTTGACTCTGTAGAAGATGGATTGGGCGATAAGCGTTGAACCAATGTATATTTGTCGAAGACGTTTACAAATTGGTGCTGTTGAGTATTGTCTCGATGGAAATTGTTGAAAACGGTGATTTTTCTGAAGAGTAGACGATTTCCTGTACAGTGACAGGCTTAACGACTGGCGTGGATAATCTTCTGTACGGGGACAGGCATCACAATTTAAAAATACTCGACTAGCTCT